AAAGACAAGGGAGGAGAGAAAGAAAGACAGACGGATAAAAGAAAGAAAGAAAGCGACGGATGGATGAAAGAAAAAAAGAAAGAAAGAAAGAAAGAATGAAAGAAGACGGACAGAAGGAAGAAAGACAAGGGAGGAGAGAAAGAAAGAAAGCGACAGACAGACGGATGAAAGAAAGAAAGAAAGCGACAGACAGATTGATGAAAGAAAGAAAGAAAGATAGACATACAGAAGGATGAAAGAAAGAAAGAAAGATAGAAAGAAAGAAAGAAGACAGACAGATGGACAGAAGAAAGAAAGACAAGGGAGGAGAGAAAGAAAGACAGACGGATAAAAGAAAGAAAAAAAGACATACAGAAGGATGAAAGAAAGAAAGATAGAAAGAAAGAAGACGGACAGATGGACAGAAGAAAAACAAGGGAGGAGAGAAAGAAAGACAGACGGATGAAAGAAAGAAAGAAAGCGACAGACAGATTGATGAAAGAAAGAAAGAAAGAAAGAAAGAAAGAAAGAAAGAAAGAAAGAAAGAAAGAAAGAAAGAAAGAAAGAAAGAAAGAAAGAAAGAAAGAAAGAAAGAAAGAAAGAAAGAAAGAAAGAAAGAAAGAAAGAAAGAAAGAAAGAAAGAAAGAAAGAAAGAAAGAAAGAAAGAAAGAAAGAAAGAAAGAAAGAAAGAAGACGGACAGATGGACAGAAGAAAGACAAGGGAGGAGAGAAAGAAAGACAGACGGATAAAAGAAAGAAAGCGACAGACAGATTGATGAAAGAAAGAAAGAAAGAAAGAAAGAAAGAAATAAAGACATAGAGAAGGATGAAAGAAATAAAGATAGAAAGAAAGAAAGAAAGAAAGAAGACGGACAGATGGACAGAAGAAAGACAAGGGAGGAGAGAAATAAAGACAGACGGATAAAAGAAACAAAGAAAGTGAAAGACAGATGGATGAAAGAAAGAAAGAAAAAGAAAGAAAGAAAGAAAGAAGACAGACGGATGGACAGAAGAAAGAAAGAGAAGGGAGGAGAGAAAGAAAGACAGACGGATAAAAGAAAGAAAGCGACAGACAGATGGATGAAAGAAAGAAAGAAAGAAAGAAGATGGACAGATGGACAGAAGAAGGAAAGACAAGGGAGGAGAGAAAGAAAGACAGACGGATGAAAGAAACAAAGAAAGCGACAGACAGATGGATGAAAGGACAGATGGACAGAAGAAAGAAAGACGAGGGAGGAGAGAAAGTGACAGACAGATTGATGAAAGAAAGAAAGACAGACATACAGAAGGATGAAAGAAAGAAAGATAGAAAGAAAGAAAGAAGACGGAGAGATGGACAGAAGAAAGAAAGACAAGGGAGGAGAGGAAAGAAAGAAAGAAAGAAAGAAAGAAAGAAAGAAAGAAAGAAAGAAAGAAAGAAAGAAAGAAAGAAAGAAAGAAAGAAAGAAAGAAAGAAAGAAAGAAAGAAAGAAAGAAAGAAAGAAAGAAAGAAAGAAAGAAAGAGAAAGACAGATGGATAAAAGAAAGAAAGAAAGCGACAGACAGATGGATGAAAGAAAGAAAGAAAGAAAGAAAGAAAGAAAGAAAGAAAGAATGAAAGAAGACGGACAGAAGAAAGAAAGACAAGGGAGGAGAGACAGAAAGACAGACGGATGAAAGAAAGAAAGAAAGCGACAGACAGATTGATGAAAGAAAGAAAGAAAGAAAGACAAGGGAGGAGAGAAAGACAGACGGATAAAAGAAAGAAAAAAGACATACAGAAGCATGAAAGAAAGAAAGATAGAAAGAAAGAAGACGGACAGATGGACAGAAGAAAGAAAAACAAGGGAGAAAGAAAGACAGACGGATGAAAGAAAGAAAGCGACAGACAGATTGATGAAAGAAAAAAAGAAAGAAAGACAGACAGACAGACATACAAAAGGATGAAAGAAAGAAAGAAAGAAAGAAAGAAAGAAAGAAAGAAAGAAAGAAAGAAAGAAAGAAAGAAAGAAAGAAAGAAAGAAAGAAAGAAAGAAAGAAAGAAAGAAAGAAAGAAAGAAAGAAAGAAAGAAAGAAAGAAAGAAAGAAAGAAAGAAAGAAAGAAAGAAAGAAAGAAAGAAAGAAAGAAAGAAAGAAAGAAAGAAAGAAAGAAAGAAAGAAAGAAAGAAAGAAAGAAAGAAAGAAAGAAAGAAAGAAAGA